GGACACACGAAACAATAAATTGCAATTCCAAGTCACTTATACTGCAACAGATATGCGTGAATAGTATATGAAATGAATAGACCAAAGGTTAGCGAAGAGTAACAAAAAAAAATAAAATGATAGTAAATAGGTGTATGTACAAAACAACAAAAACATATCTGTAACAAAATTTTCCAGAGCAACGACAACAAATACAAAGCAGCAAAAGTGCTTGAATAAAAGTCGTATTACAGATGCAATATATGTATTTGTACAATGAGTACTGTAAATACGATGTTTTTGTTACTGTTGTCATTGTCAGTGATCCAGTGTTGGGATCACACTTTTTTTTTTGTTACAGATACAGCGACTGTCACCATGTCAGTGTTGTCCACATATCATATTGCTGTTCGTATTAGTCAGTTAGCGCTAGGGAATAAATGCAAACACAAATGTACGCACTAAGAATTTTAAGGCCATCACATTTTAGTGAAACAAGCATCATAGATGTTAAACTTTTTATGACGCAAAATAAACTATGTGCACAAACTAAATATTTATTTTAGTTAACTTTTCAGATATTATTTTCAAAAACTTGCGAGTTGTTTTAGTATAAAAATCTTTCAATGAAGGCAGCAGCTGAAAGAAGGCAATGGTGAACTTTTACACGGATGTATGAAAGCTTAACGAAATGGACAAAACCTTAAATTTAGGTTTCCATATCTCTGTAGTGGTTTTCCAGGCGGAGGACAGCTACCTCGTAAAGAAATAGTCGATTCACGCGACGTTGAAAAGAAAGGCGAATATTCAGTATGGTAGGATATCGAAAATCAAAGCCGGTCGCACATTGAGTGCTCAAAAACAGCTATAGAATACCTAGCCTTCATTTCGTTTGTGTTCGATTATTTCCGAGTTAAACTTCTATATATTGTTGCCAGGCCACAGGGATATTGCAGGAAACATTGCGGCAGATGTGCTGGCCGGGCAAGTGTGAAATAACGAAAGGAAAGAGTGGGATTAACTTATTCTTCAAAGTATATGCGCAATACTCTTGGACAGATGCTCCTTGTACATATACCAGGTCGGTATTTAGGCTGAAGCCGCTCAAGGGATGTCCTAAGTTCTGGTTTGAGTATTGATCCATGCGATGGGATTAAATATGACACCGCATCTTTACTATCACTAGTGCTGGACGACGACGTGCTGGAATTATCTCAACAGATCATTTTAAACTACCCAGGTTTCGCAAAACTTTGATCTAAAAAGGAGGCGCCGTTTAACCAGCCCGGAGGAATTCGACGAGACCGACATCTGCTGAGTGAGCCATCGACATGTGCTACGCAACGGTTTAAGGTGAAGACTAATATAAAGGCAAAGACGCAAAAACTAAAACTTAGACTGAGGCGAAGAGCAATATGAAAACGATGACCAAGACGAAGACTAATACTTAGACTAAAACTAGTCTAAGGCGAGGGCAAATACGAATATGATGAAGAAAACGATCACGAATACAAAGACGAAGGTAAAAATGAAGACGAATAGTACAACTAAGTCGAAAAACATAACGAAAACGTGTACAAAGCCGACCGCAAAAATTATGACGAAAACTAAGACGAATAAAAAAACGACGATGAACACGACTACTAAGACGAAAGCCAGACGAATTGCATGCAAATCAAGACTGCCTGCTCCATATTGTATACGCTATTTTGAATTATTTAAAACCGGTTTAGGTTATATAATGAGCGGCTCAATGAACCTTTAGATATCAGATTTCATAAAAATCTAGAAAGTTTAAAAAATCAAGTTTAAAAAATCACAAGGCAATGTTTTATTGACCGATTCAGAATATGGGTTGGAAAGGGTTATTTTCCGTAACGTAGAAACCGAAGTGAAAACCAAGTCTCGACTTAAACTATAGAGCTAAATAAGTTTGGTAACTAAATGCCATACATGTATATTTCCATACTTGCTGTAGCACACTCATCAATATTTCGACGAGACAAGGATGTGCTTTCCTCATATTCGATTTAAATAGATTACTAATCGATATATCTTAAACACCCGCGATTTATCAACAAACAAGAAATTAAGGTAGATGTGATAAAAGCAGAGGCACGTCAAAAATCAGCAACAAAAAACAAAAACTGTTTACATTTAAAATATTTATATTGCGCACTTGAAGAGGTTTCTGCAAGCGCTATGTGTACGTATATAGAAGTATATAATGATGAAAGCACCTGGTGTTCACCGCCAAGCCACATGTGGCAGAAGGCAAGCAGCATGCGTCTACATGTAACGCATTTTTTACAATCTTTCCCTTGAATTCCATATTCTATATTCTTTTTTTTTCGTTATAAACACAACCAACAACGGTTGCAACAGCGTGTCACCAGCCGACATTGTTTGCTTGGAAAGCAGAAAGCTACACGGCGTGACTCCTCGTTGCAATCTATGGCGCAACAACTTACGACGTGACGCCTTCTACTGGAAATAATGCATTCACTTGTGTATGCATTAGAAAAAATAATACATCGTTATTCACCCTTAAGTAGATAATAAATACAATAGCGGTACATGCTACTGTCGTCGATTTACTCATACAAATGGCACAGAGGAGTTTTCGAGGATTTTCGAGCCAAGGCGTTGAAATGAAATATATTTTCACCACATGAGTACATATCAGGCTTATTTAGGCTAAAGTGGCCTAGTCATTCAGTGGTTATTGTACCGTTTTTGGTGATTTACCAGTAAATGCAAAAAAAGAGGATGACGGTACAGAAATCCGAAAAAAGTGGTATAGACCCCGCTTCACTAGAAAGGGAGCTTACTTTTTCTTCACAAAGCAAACAAGTATGTATTTATATTTACACACTTGTGGGCATCGAAGAAGCACCTTTCAAAGAATGGTCTATTCTAGATACCTTGTTTTTATGCAGCTCTTTAAAAGCCAATACAGAACAGGTGCTCTAAAATGTGGGTCACTTGATTAGGTAGACTGCGACCCTCCCTCCCTCTGTGTGTAATAAAGTTAATAAAATTGTACTTACACCCAGTGTTGCCAGGTCTTCGGCATGAGAAAACGTCCCTTTTTATCTGAAAAAACGTCATTTCCTACCCAAAAACGTCTTTTTCAAATGTATGCACAAGGAATTGTTCTTATTAAACTTTTATTGTATGCAAAGGTACATATGTACGTAAGGTATAGATATTAAAACGTCATTTGCTCTGTCACATTTAAAATTCATTCTAGACTGGTTTGAGATCGTTAATATAAAAAGCATTTTATACATGCACTTGTGATCAGCTGATTAAGTCATCGATTTTGGCTCTTTCTTTTTTGTTTATTTAATGTTTATTATTTTTCCATAAAAGCCTAGCTCATTATATAATAAACAAAATATAAATCCACATTTCAAACTATGTGCAAAAATTATAAAAAATCTAATTCAACTTTTTATTCAGATTTTTTAGAATTTCTTTGAGTATGCAGGTTGATAGCCCATTAAATTTCAGGGCAATAATGTGCAGGTTTTAAGATTTAACATTTTGTTAAGTTGTATGTTGTCGAAAATGCTAAATTACGTTCTGTTAAGAAGGAGCATAGCAATATTTCAGCCTTTTTACGCTCCTTAAATTTTCAATAAGGGGCCCCATGCGACTAATTGTGTCATTTTCTTTATGCGCTTAAATAAGGGTTAAGTCATCTGTGTCCAAAGAATATATATTTTTTTGAAGCAGCTGCTGCAAAAAACAAAGCTTGTAAAGATTTATTAAGAAAATAATTCAAAATCAGTTCTACTTACAAGATTTAGTAACAGAGAAATATTACTGGGAAGTTAAAAAACGTCATTTTTTACACAAAAAACGTCCAAACGTCAACAGGATACAAAAAACGTCCAAATGACGTTAAAAACGTCAACTTGGCAACGCTGCTTACACCTTTTTAAGCATTTAATGAATGATTACGGTGACCTCTGGCGGCGATTTTATTTGTGTGTCGTCTGTCTAACCTATATATAATTTATTTTTCAGTCAGTTGTTGCGATTCACCATGGCGCCACACAGCGCGAATGTCACTGTGCACATTACGATTGAACAATTTTGGGGTATGTATGGTTATGTCTCGCAGAGCTGACGTAAATTAGCCCCCAATATTGTGCGATTTGACACCGTTACACTTTCTTCTAGTGTCTGAGAAAGCTTTATTGCGAAAGTAGTTTTGGAGAGGATGCCACCTGTTACTAAATTTCAGTCGAATATCTCGAAAACTGAGAGACTAGATTTTGTTTCCGATTAATTTTAAATATTTTCCATTGGAAAAAGAAGAGATGGACATTCTTTTTCTGAAAAATCGGACCAAATTTATAATACCATATTCATGTTCATTAAATGTATTATTAAAGCACGTTTAAATATATATAAATAAAATTTCAATCAAAACATGTTCGTTAATCACACCATTTATAGAGTCAAATGCTGGGTTTTTAGCTATCAAATTTGTTGTTTTTGTTTTTCGTACAACTAAGGGAAAGTTCCATTTCAATAAATTTAAATATATTTTAACTGAATAGTTTTTTAAAAATATCTCAACCTCTTTTCCTGCCAGCGTTCACTTTTGTTTACTTTCACAACTGACGTTTCTGCTCCTCTTCGCAAAAGTAGTCGATAAAACTGGGTTGGACACTGAAAATTAGCGGTTTAATCTGAGATTATTTGATAAGAAATGAGATTTGCCCACCGGAAGCTGCAGACATCAAGCCTTATTAATTTATACTCAAATATCGATATTTAGATATAAAAGGTAGAGGTAATTAGGGATAAAAGAAAGAACCGTGTTGAAATAATACAGCTTTTACTCTCTCCGGTAAAATTTTGGCAACCTCACACACGAGGTTTTGTACTTTAGACGACGATATGCAAATATACTTTCAGGCAGATCTACAAAAAGGCCTCACATGCAATTTCATATACATACATACATTTATGTAACCAGTTTACTTTTTCAAAATTTTTTTTACTAAGTAAGCTCGTGCATGTCCATGCATACATAAGTTCCAACAACACTGCTAATTCACATATATGTGTACATACATACAACATTTGTATATAATTAAGTCATTTCCTCACTTCTCACAAACATTGTAACCCGGTCCGTGTCTGCCACGTCTAACTGGGCGCTACGATAGAAGGAAATCAGAGAGATTATGACGTACACTCAATTCAAGCATACTTATGCGGGGTTTTTACACTCACACTGAAAATGGCTTTCCCAGCATTGCCTTCAATGGGTCAATAATATCACCTTCATAGCCGTCTAGCGATAGCAGTTTATAGTCATTACTTGCGTCAGCTAGAGCAAATGAGCGGTAATGCATGAAGTGTTTAACAGACTCCCGCACCATCCGCTCACCATACTGCTGATCGTGTGTTAATATCAGCAATTCATGCGCTCCCTTACTTGCTGTTATGGCATGCAAATGTTCGAAGCCGATAAAGTAGTCACTCGCGCTGTCGCTGCGCTCCCAGTTCTCATATCCATTAATTTGTTCATATTGATTTTTTTCGTTCAAACGCTTTCGATGCCTTGCATCCAAACTAGCAATCAATTTCCAACCATGTCCATAGTACTTACGCTCACAATCAATTAAGTATAACGGCATATCAGCGTTGATTTGGATTTTTTGTTTACCGTTGCAATCAAAGCGCGAACTTCGCATATCATCTGAATTAT